AACAAACTTGATAGCCCTTCATCCCAGCATGCCACAGGCACAATATCAGCAATCTGAGCCTTTTGGTTATTGAGAAGAAGTTGTTTAAAGATTTTAACATATTTGACCCCTGTGACCTTTAAAGTGGGTCAAGGTCATTCATTTGAACAAACTTGGTAGTCCTTCATCCCAGCATGTCACAGGCCCAATATCTACACTCTGAGCCTTTTGGTTAATGAGAAGAAGTTGTTTAAAGATTTTAACATATTTGACCTCTGTGACCTTTAAAGTGGGTCAAGGTCATTCATTTGAACAAACTTGGTAGAGCTCCATGCCAGTATCCTCTGTGCCAAGTATTAGCCCCCTAGACCTTCTAGTATTTGAGAAGAAGTCGTTTGAATGAAAAGTTTACGGACGGCGCACGGCGCACGACGACGGTCCAGATGACCTAAAAATACACCTGTATATTTTCTGAACTGAATAAAAAGATTTGGAATTTTCTTGGGCTGGATTTTGAGTTAGATGTGCTGTGAAAGGAACAACAGATAAAGGTACATAGAAGCCAATAGACCATTTATTAAAAGATGACTGTTTCAAACAAAAATGCAAGATGGTTATAATTATGCTAAAGCAAGCTTATTTGGAAAGCAATCAAATATATACATGCATAATGAAAGTAAATTTTACTCATAAAATCAAATTATATATTTATATATATAAATTACAATAACTAAGACTTAGGAACCTTTATTTTCGTTGCAGGATTAAAACAAATGAAAACATTCAAAAACATTCACATAGGTATGATTTTATCATACTTTTACAGAACAAAAAATAAACTGTTACCAAGATAATAATTGATTATAGAAGGACTAGAAAATATACGCTAAAAATATATAATATATCCTAAAACTTTGAATGAGACCTGCCTTTAAGGCTACATTTATATAATTAACTGTTGTCTATAAAAACCACTGGTTTCATACCAGATGTAATATTTTTCCTTACAAGCCTCCTTACAATTGAAATATATTTCATATTTTATATGTATGTAAAAGTAGCTAATGTATTGATTTATAAGTAAAAAAAGAAATTCAAATATGAACTTTGCTTTTTTATGACCTGGGGGATTTTCTATTGCACATCATGAACTTTTCAACAAATAACTGTTGGGCAATAAAATACATAATATTGGTGTATTAAACTGGCCCCATGTTAATATAAAGTTATAGTACCTACATGAAAAAATACCACCAGCTAGGTAACACATATTCAGGAATTCCTAGCAATCTTCTAACAGTTTGCTAGTACTTGATTCAGGAAAATTTCTCTCCTGGAATATGTATGTTTATTTATATGAAATTGTAAATGTCTTACTATTCAAAAATTTTCTCATTTGATGTAAGACTGTGTGTTTCACATCAGTTTGGATCCAGGATTATGAGAAATATTCTCTCATGTTGTCTATTGTGATGATTGGACCAGTTGCGACAATATCACTCCTGGCGTAGTTTTTGCTAAGTATTCAGGTTATATACCGAAAAAGACCAAAGCATTTATATTAAATTATTATTTGATATGTATGTTATGAGTATAATATTATGCTGTTCACGCTACATTCATTTAACTTATCTAAATGCAGTGTCTGGAATGTTCAAATGGAAAAATTTTAATCTGATAGAGATTCATAATGCTGAATAATATGTAGGACCTGTGCCCTATGATGAACAATAACATTAATTTGGGAAGATTATTGATTTACCTTTCAGCAATGCTTTGTAAGTATATAAACTTTTTTGTTCTGGCTGTAAGTACACACAAAGTCTCACTATGGGAATAGACTGAAGTGACCATGCAGGGTGGTCCGGTGGCGCAGTGGTAATGCACACACCTTTCACCTAGCTGACTTGGGTTCGATCCTGGAACGGACATCAAAAGGTAACCTGCCCGACCACATGGGTATTCCGGTTTCCTCCCACAATAAGACCCCTTGCGCTTACATCTGGGTCAACAAGAATGATTAGTAGAAGTTGACATAACTTGTTTCGCAATTGTTGTAAAATAAATAAAGTTTATATTTAACCATGCAGGAGACCATCATACCTTCTCACATCCACTCTAGGAAACAATGCCATCTTCCCAATATTTTCATTATTTACACCTTGATATTAAAACAGTAAAATATTTACTAATTGCTATATTAAGGATAAACTATCACTGATATACAGGTAAAACATAACCATGCAACAAACTCACAATACTCAGAACACACCTGATAGATATGTTTCATATTCCAGAAAAACCTTAGATAAAACATTGTAAACATGCAGCTGATACACTGAAGCTGATATCATTGAGGTTCCTGAAACTTCATACCTTTAACAACAACCATTCTTTCTTCACATAATAAATAGACAAGAAAGACAACAGGAATAAATTAACTATTGGTTTAAAACAAAGTCAGAAGTTATCTTGAAACTTGAGTACAAAAACAAAGTAATAATTACGTTAAAAATTCTAGCACTTATCCTAATCTTATTGTAACAATAACCTTATATATTTCAACAAAATCCTTACATATCAAAAGTACATTAGTGTACAGTTATGTGGAGAAAACAAAACTTAACTACCAAAAGTTGAACAATGAAGGCACCATGATTGTATATTTTGCTATAATCTTGTATAAACAAACTATAGAGACATTTATCCCATAACTACCAGTGTAGAAATAACAGTATAGATTTTTTGGTGAATATCACACATGTAATAACACCAAGCAACAATTTGATTGGTTGAAACTTTCCATTGTTTCAATTGCAATGTCATAACTGAAATATGTCATCTATATTGTAGGTCACCAAGTAAAGATAAGGAGTAAAAATATCACTGATTTGGTATCAGTGTCATCTATATTGGAGGTCACCAAGTAAAGATAAGGAGTAAAAATATCACTGATTTGGTATCAGTGAAATAAAAAATATCTACATTTAATTTCCGCTGATCTTTTACATTAAATTGAGGAATAAAAGTCCAAAAACATTTCATCTTACCATTTGACAAGGTAGAATCTTCAGTTACACAATACCATCCTACAGATTAAGAATTTCAGAGCCATTTATTGACAGAGTGTTTAGGTTTACCCTTTTATTGACTAGAAATTAAGACCAATGTTAAAAACACATTTTCTTGATTTTTTTTATATGAAAAAAAACATCAACCCTGCCAAAAAAACATATCTACACCAAAAACGTATGTAACTTCAGTTAATATGCCCTATTGTAAAATGCCATCTTTTATTTGATATTCAAACACATTTTCCTGAAATAAAACAAGGGGGTCAACACATTAATTCTGATCAAAAGGCAAGGTTGGGCTTATCAATGGAAAACAGCAGTTGATTATTCTTCTCACCAGCAGTGTAAACAGTAATAGCCATCGATGGGATTATTGCTTAATAAATATGGTAAACATTTCTTTAAGAAATGATAGGCTATAACATTTACTCACGGTTCTCAGGAAGTGAAATCTAGATACAAAAGCATGATTTCCGTGATTTCAATGTTTTCAGTACAAACACAGCACAATACAAAATTCTGAAAATATACATCAATATTGGATCAAAAATTATTGCAAAACTATTACCTCTTCTAAAACTAATTGAGGCAGAGAAAATCTTTCACAGATATATATGTTTTCAATGATTTCAACACATCACCTGTGTTTGAAACCTATATTCTTTACATATGCACTTCAGAACATGATTTGAAATGTTTCTCTGTCCTGTCAAGCATTAGGAACCAAAGTCAAAATGACGTCACGTCTCAATACTAATCAACCATGCTAAAATAAAAAAAAGTTTAAACTGCACTTAAAAATGATTGTAAAGGGGAAAAAATTTGGTAAAATGTTCCTGATTTTTCTGTTTACATGAACTATTAAAATTAATATCTAAGATTGAATTATTCAAAATTGTGTGTATATACAACTAATGCACGGAACAGAGTACTGAACATAGTTTACTTACCACTAATGCAAACAATACAGATAATGTTAGCATATTAGGGGCTACTACTCTACTCTACAATCTTAGTGTATAAATTCAGAAAATTATTAAAACCGAGTAAGTTTCCCAATGAAAATAGGAAAGCCAGGATAAATGAATATAGGTTATACTCCAGCACCAGCTAGGCCCTCAAAGATATGAGAGAAGCTGAGTATGTCTGGCTAGGCCCTCAATGATTAGAGAGAAGCTTTGTAAAATACTTGTGAACTTGAGAATATCCTGTTAACGAATAGACCATACTCTGGTACTAGCTAAGTCTTCAATTATCTTAGAGAAGCTGAATATGTCCCGCTAGGCCCTCAGTGATATGAGAGAAGCTGAGTCATATCTGTACAAGACTATTCATTATTATGAGATTGGGGGTAAAATTCCTCAAGAATTTAATAGCCATAAGGAAACGATTATGTTACACATGAGAGTGAGTGCCCCCAATGAATGATAGTAGATAGCGATATACATTGAAGCTAACAAAACACAATTGAGGTGGGTAAAATACATGTATGGATGTAGAAAAATAAAAGAGAAAATAATTATACACAGATAACAAAACCAGACTATTAGGGCTAAAACTAACACCAGAAAGTAACCATGCAAGTCATATCCTTTTGAGCTATCTGGATCGACATGGGACTAATTCTAATGTATCTATTGAAACAATCAGAGGATCATCTGCCCAAGGCCTGGATTACGTTCTCGACACCCGCAGCTGCAGGGAGGTACTTGCTCCTATACGGAAAAAATGGCCCGTAAAAGAATGGTTGCCTAAGCCAATACGGGCAAGAATATTGAGGTATTAACTTATTAAATTTATTAAAATATTGTTAATTTATTACTGACACCTACTGTGAACAATTGTGTATTGACCAGTGGTCAGAGGCATTCTGTCGTTACTGATCTACTACACATGTTCATGTATTATTTCGTTCCCTGATTATATAAGTCATTACCTGAAGCCTATCTAAGCAGGGTGTATGATGGTCAGTGTAACTTTATCTTGTTGTAAACAGCCGAATCTATTGCAATTTATGTGTGTAATGCCATGTCCATAACTCATATATCACTTAATCCTAGGTTACCTGTTAGCTAATGGGTAATAGTACTTTATCGATTTATTAACATGGCTAGTATAAATACGACCACCTTTCTAGCCAGTTATTATTGGTTCCTGAAGGCCAGAAAGGACAAAGGTTATTCTCCACTGGCTTCTCTCCTAGTTTGACTGAACAGTTTATCAGAGTACAGCTACAATGATCAGACATGACAAGACTTCGTGAAGACTTTATCTCCTCATCAGAAATATGCTTTCAGGAGACCAGTGATCATTGTTCGGCAAGCAGGACATTTTATTAGGGCTGGGGCACAGTCCTCACAGCAGACAATATGGCCACATGGAAGAAAAACAAGTTGTACTTCCTTGTCCTCGCAAATCTTGCAAAGTAGTTGCTGTCTTAAAACATCATTCTCCCTTTCCAGTTCTGAAAATTGAGAATACATAAATGACACAAGAAATGTCTACACAATGTTAGGTCTTAGTCATAAAAATTCTCAAATTAAATGAAGTTGAGAAAGCATTAGAATTATGGAAAATACTGAAACATTAAACAAGAAATCCCTGGGGAAAAATGCATCTATGCCCACCATTATTGTCATTGGTTCTAGTTTTATTTTTTCTCGGAGTTATCTGTGGCTTTGAAAATAGTATCCTTAGCCAAAAATAATATTCAAAATAATATATCAACTTCTTATCGAACTCAAAATAAGGCCTATGCACCCCTGTTACCAACACTGAATAATATGAAAGTCAAGAAAATCCCTAACAATTCTTAGAAAATGGCTGAAACAATTATTGAAAATAGAAATCAATGCCCCTGCAGCCAAATAATTTTCTATACAGAGCAAAGGGTGACCTTCGCATTGACCCACCTTAGGCCCCTGACACACAACAATGTCCATTGATACTCATAATTATAATATAATATGAACAAAATATTCACAGAGACTCCTGAAACAGTACAAAGAGGATAAGCCCATGTGTTCTGGAAGTTAAAGCATTTTCTGCTTCATCAGTTGAACACTTCTTGCATAAAAATAGTGATTATGAACAGCACCATGTAAATGTAAATCAAAGTACTGAAAGTACTGGTATGCTAAGACCATTAAAAAAACAAATTCTTTGTTATTAGCTTGCTATATACTGAAACCAACTATATGCAAGCAGTAAATCATTGCAGCCCATAAAAAATGACCAGCAGATATCAGAAATAACAAGCATAGTAGTATTACTTATGTAATACATGTCCCAAGTAGGCTCCAAGATGCAATGATAGGGAAGTTGTCCATTTCTTTGGATACATTGTAGGAAATGTTGATCTTGGACACCATATTATCACTATAAAGACTGCGTATCTTATTGGTTTAAGACCATTAGTTAGACCATCATGCAAATAACATGCTACATACAAATATTGGGCAGCTTCATTTTCCAGATTGTCTGTAAATGACTGCATAAGAGTGCCAATTTTCTAAAACAAACATGATATGTCACCATATCTTAAAATAAAAGATGCCTGCTTGGTCTTATTCTCCTTGTACTTTTTCAGGGAATCTTCGAGTAGATATTGCCTTTGTTTCAATTTTACACTTGTTTTACTGGTTCTACAATTCTGTTGACATGTTTATATATTCTTTGTTCTCTAAAACTTGTCGCAAGATATTTTATTCCTCTTGTATTATAATTTTTACATACTAACAGTGACCTTGAACCTTGAAATTTGCAAGATGTGAATATCTTTTAGGTTGTGAAATTTGATAGAAAAATGAGGGTAATGCAAAGAACACCCCCATGCATCTATCCGTTTTTTGACTGTGACCTTGATCTTTGACATCTGACCCTGAATTTCTAAAGAAACCGACTTCCCATAGGGGATACATGTTCCAAATTTGATTAAGGTATACTGTCTTAGTCTCAATGCGTTTACAAGGTAATCATATAGTACTTATGCAAGTACTGTGACCTCTACATTCAATCCTCAAAATCATTACTATATCCTCTGCACATTGCCCAGGGATAACTGAAACTGTAATCCAAATGATAACTAATACCCCCCAACACCCACAGCCTTAGCTATCTCCCCATGGTGACCTTTTGCACAGAAACATCCTCTGAAACACAGCGGCATGTGCACGTTCCCCTACATTCCTGCAAAGTTTTGTTGAAATTGGTCCACAGGTTTAGAAGTTGACCGACGAGCAAAACCCGTCTATATTGACCAGTTGCCATGGCAATCGATATTTCGAGGGAAAATGGTGCATGCACATCTACACATTGTCCCGAATATTACTGAAAAGTTTCATTGGAGTTGTCCAGACAAGATGTGTCTACAGACAGACAAACAGATGGATGGACGGATAGACAACCTGATTCCAGTTTACCCATCCTTTTGGTGGTATAAGAACGCACAAGAGTGCTTACAAATTCCATGTGGACAGACATTATGGAAAAATAATAATAATAATAAAAAAAACATGATACAGATGCTTATATCTTGTTTTATTAAGTTTTTAGATACAGTATTCTTTCCATGCTTTGATCAGCAATGTAATCTTGTCATGTCAATATCCTAGTACAAGATTGAATACACAAAATTGCTGTAGGTAGACTTTTAAGATACATAAAAAAATACATGCCTAAGTTTAAATGAAGGTTTTAAACAGAAGTCGTATTATGTTCAGTATACAGTGATTTTTCTAGACAATTGTAAACTATAAACTCGGTATACAGCGATCTTTTCTACACATTTGTAAACAACAAACTCAGTATGCGGTGATCTTTTCTACAAAAAGTTTTTTTTATATATTGTATACACTAAACTCAGAAAAAAAACAAATAAGTAAACCTTTCTATGTACACTACAAACTCAGTATACAGTGATCCTTTCTACACAAACTTGGTATAACTAGTGAATCTTTCTACTCAAGTAAATTGAAGATTGTATACAAATTTACTACAAATGCAGTATACAATGATCTTTTCCACATTTTTTTAGTTTCCGCGATTTGTTGATTCTTCTTTTGTGATGGTAAATATATTTCCGCCTTTAGAGAGTACTGTGACATTAAAAGGCAACATGGTTGTTAGCATCTCCTCAAGTGATTAATCATCTTCAACATCTAATTGGAGGCCGGAAAGAAGGACGTTTTTCTCCACCATAAGGTCCTCAAATCCATTGTTGGTCACCATGGCCAATTCCAACTTAGAAGAGTCAATAGAGATACCTTCTACCATTCCAGATTTCATTTCTTCAGGGATATTCACTTGCTGAAAGAGAGTAAGGAAAATAAATAACTATATTTCATTATTGCTATGATTATGTGCAAAAAATACACACTTCTGTATAAGCTTATAGTCTTCCCAATAGGAGTCTATATTAAATATACTGTAATTAATTACTTTGACGTTCAGGACTGTCAAATTATTAAGCGATGGACAGCTAGCAAAATGATAATATCTTGACCATGGTCATACAGAGATTGAATCATAAAATTAAATTTGTGTGATAAATCTGTGCAGTATGATAATTTATTTTGACATTTGCATTTCAAAAAAAATCATTTTGACTTGAAAAGTAATGTATAATTTAATTAATTACATTGGACCGTCATGTAATGGTTATTTAATTATTTTGAAAATACCTGTAGTGGCAATGCCATTTTCATAATGTAATTGTAATTTAATTAATTACATCATCATGTAATTGAACCCATGCCTGTTACAAACAGTAGCTGTCCTAACTGATCCTAAAATTAACTTTGGCTACATCTATCACAAAATTAACTTTGGCTATGTCTATTACAAATGCCACATTTAGCTACAGTAGAGGTATTTCAAAAATGTACGTCATTATAGCTGAAAGGACATAATTAATGGTTACTTAACCAGAACTACAGTTCTGAACAAACCACTACAAAGCCTGGTTATCTGTACAGACAATGTCCTCTCAATTAATCAATTTCATTGATTATCAACATCTTATTGTTGTACTTCCGGTCACTTGAGTTTCTTAAAGTTTCAATTTGACTTTTAATAAGGCCCAATGTGATAATACTGCAATGTCTTAATAAGCTCTTGAGGGGTATTGGTTAGACTATTTATCCCATTTCATTCCATTCACCATGGAAACAAAACTCTAAAATGCTTATAAACAGTCGACAATTAATGACAAATATTGAGCCTAGGGCTGTGTAAAATTGATGAATCAAGTGTTGAACTGAAAGTTGACGCAGTTGACATAATACTGAAATTTCTGAGATGAACAAATACAGTACATATATTAAAAGTTCAGGCATAATAAGAATTGTACCAATGGGACCTAACACTTTGCTAGGTTTATCCTAATCTTCATTAAAACACTTTCCGGGATTCAGATGTTAATTGACATCTTCATTATTCCCAATCTTCATATTGTAATCGTTCACATGCATCACTCTTCAACATCAACGAGACATCATGTCAGAAAGACAAAAACTAAATTTAAGCTAAAACTATATATATAAACTTCAATTGGCATAGCTGTAGAGTTCCCGTACGATTTCATACCCTGGACTTGGGGTACTTATAAATTATCTCCGATCAGAAATTTGAAAGAGCTAGATCTACAATAGCACGGACAGTGACCGATATTTTAAAGTAAAATCGATATATTACACAGATAGATTCCTAGATTTATTCACGGTAGCGTAAGTAGTACAGTACAATATTACGGATAAGTTTTTTTCTGTTTAATTTCCGATCTGTTGGGCCACTCACGATCATTCAAAATTAAATTTATTTCAAAACACTGAAATACTTTACGGAAGCAACAAATGCTTACATAACATTTTTCAAATGCATACTGCTTCAAAGGAAAAGTCTTGAAAATATTTTGAAAAAAGTGCCATGGCGGCAGTGCCCAGCTTGCGCGTCGCCGTCGAGCCTAAATTCAATACATGCGATAGCTCATTTCAAATGAGTATTTTGCAAAAAATGCAATTGCTAGTTCAGTTTAAGTATTGACTTTAAATTCAGCTTATATATAGTGATACTTACTTGCATCAAATACCCGCCATCTTCTTTCTGCCGCCGTCTTCTTTCAGGGTCCAGCAGCAAACAGCACCCCGGCTGTTTCCGTCAAAATTTTATGCTACTCTAAATCATTCTTATTTTAGTTTCATTCTTATTTTCAACTACATATTTCAGTATTTTCAAAAGTTTTCAACAGTATTAAACGAGATGAAAATTTTCGAAAAAGAAAAAAAAAGAAAGATATATGACACCCACAATGCATCGCGCGGAAAAGAAAGTTAAGCCGCCATATTGGCATCGCCTCGCAAAATTTACCACCATAAAACGTGAGTCTTCGTCACTGTATTTACAAATTTCGATGTCTGATTATCATTAATACACAACACAAAACGTTTTCTTGATGTACAAGTAATGAAGAAAATGTCGATAAGGTTGTTTCATTTAATGACTAGGATCAGCAACTTGTAGGGGCGATAATCCAATGATTACGGTAATGTCTGGCAGATGGAGTAGGAGTAAACTTTCGATTTATGAACCAATGAAAACGAAGTACTGATACTCAGGGCCAGGGGCGACAGCAACATGCTGAAGAGCATTGAAAATGCTCTTAGCATAAAAATGGTGTAAATAAGGGGCGAATATATCTATAAAAACTTGATTAAATTTTTTTTTTAAACTTCTATAAATCACTCTTGTTGGCTCGGATGGAACCCTTTGTGCGATTTTACTTGATAATTATTTTGAGTCAAAAACCCCTGACAATGGGTCGAAACGCACATACTTGTGAAAAATCAATTGTCCACTCAAAACCCCGTCAATGACAAACAAAGACCACCAGACAAGAATGAGACAATACCTGGACACGTTTTTATGTATAACGTCACATAGGTAAACTGGACATGCGTACACAACATATATACAGGCACAAGTAGACGTTTGAGAAAAAAACCAACAGTGCAACGCACCAGTAACGGTGGCACAGAATTAATAAAAATTTACCCTTTTACATAAACACCATAGGGAAATGAAAATCATCATGCTTATCATAGAGCTTGGTGGAAAAACTGTCCATTTTTATATAAAAAGATTGACCCAATCTAGTTGCCTAGGTGTTTATATTGAATCAGGACCAGAAGAGATGTGACAATTTGGTCAGACATTGACAATGTTTTCAGATTTTTCAATAGATGATGACTTTCACCTGTCTTAAGATTTATTTTTACAGAGAAGTTTTCATATGATCTCTCTAAAATTGTTTTTTACAGAGAATGATTTGCATACGATTTCTCTAATAGATTTTTTTTTATCCAAAACAATTTTCATATGCTCTCTTTATCACAGTGGAAGAAGAGTAAGGTAAAATGATAAAAATCAGTTGAATTCCTTGTCTCAAGAACATAAATTATAGAGTTGATTATCTCCCTTTCTTGATCAACTGATTCTGAACAGATATACGTGTTCTTAGTAATTACCATCTTCATCTGAAGAAAGAATCAGGTTCCTGACATTTTGGTCCTGTTGGGAGGCAGAAATTTCAAGGTCATCTGGGATGCCATCCACTCTCATTCGAGAACCTGAGAATAAATAACAAAATGACGTTATTCAATTGCACTGAAAAGTAATCTACCATCCTAACCAATGTATTCCTGAAGAATTTAATTTCTATGGATGCAGATTGATGTCTTATAATCATCTCATCCTTAATCACTTGAAATGCACTCACCATTTCTCAAAACCTCCACATGTTTATATTTTTAGACAAGGCAAGCTGATGTCTATATTTAAGGTAAATTGGCAAATAGTTTAAGATTTTAAAGGTAAGAAGAGTGCCGTGGACACAATATACGCCGTGACAAAATATAAAGATCAAGAAAAACTGTAAAATCGCCACTTCCAGCACATCCACTCATTGTAGAAGCGACGCTGAGCAAGTTTTATGAAAATCTGATCATTAGTTTAGGGGGAGTTACATTCACAAGGCTCCACTAAGAGCAAGCTACAGATACAAAGTTGATAATGGCATAACTCTTACAAAAATCAATGAACCATAAAATCGCCCCTTCATGCACATCTACCCATTGTAGTACTGACATTGAGCAAGTTTCGTGAAAATCAGATTATTAGTTTAGGAGGAATTCCGTTCACAAGAAATGGACGGACGGACAGACAGAGATGACACCAATAGAGGTGGTGTATAAAAAATGTTGACCACTCACAGGCTACTGTTCAACACCCCATGATCAGCCAAGATCATTTTGAAGCTGGGGTCTCCTTGAAGTAGCTGGTACCTACTACATCAAACAAGAGATCCCAGAGGGGTATTGACACCTACCAACATTTGATAATCATTTGTTCTTTAAAATTTGAATCTTTTGTTTTCACTTCTCTGGTTTTACTCTTAATAATAAGAAATAAGAATCTTTTACTACCAAATCCAAGATGGCCATATGTGGGCCATTTGATTTTTTTTATCAGTCCTAAAATCAAACAAACACAACAAAGGATCACAGGGAAGGTACATATGAAGTTTGAGGCAGATCCATTCAGTACTTCTTAGGAAATTTCCATAACAAACTTTATTTTATAAACAGCGATATATATCATTATTAATAAAATTGTTCACAGATGGATGGACAGACCATGGATGCAATTTAAAAAGCCCATCATCAGAAATATGACAGGCTGGTGGCATCCCATCCAGAGCAATGAGGGTAAAGAATCTTATCAAAGGACATAACAATGTCAATACAGATTGGTCAGTTTCTCAGCTTCCTTAGAAACACACTACTACAGGCAGCGAATCATTTTATCTGATCTTCATCTGAGGTTACATACGCCAATGCTATGACAGACCTAGCTGTCATGGGGCCCTGATTTGTTGAAAATTAAACATGCACAACTAAGGACAAAAGGATGCCGGAATATGAAATTTTAGAACAAGAGGGCCATGGCCCTTAATGGTCATCTGACAATCAACAACAAATGGATGGACAAACCACAGAATTCACTGATGTTGGTCCAACGAATATGATGAATTCAAATTTTGAACATTCTGTGAAAGTATCAGAAACTTGTTCTGTTCATGAAAAACAGTTGCACATGCATGTTACAAATGACTACTGTGGTTACCACGATGAAGTTTTGATCAGACTGAAAAATAACATAAGATCATCTCTTTCTTTCCCTCAACAAATCAAACACCAAATACTTTTATCATCGGTGTGAACGAAACATAAGAAGTTGTTCAGATGATTTGTTCGCGAGGAGATATGTTGGATATTGGATCAAAGCGTAAAAATAAGATTTGGTCAGGAAAATCTCACATCACTTCATGCATGCTTGATATCATTGCCACACCCCAATAATGTTTCAGGCCAAATCTGGCTGAAATCTACCCAGGCATTAAGAAGGAGTTGTGTTTTGGATCAAAATATTATCTAACTTCCCCTTTTGGGGCCCCGCTCCCAAGTCCCAGGGGGTTAAATCAACTTTGTGAATTTAAGAAATGATCCTCCACCCACAATGGTATTTCATACCACATTTTATTTAAATCCATTCAAGTCTTAAGGAAGAGTGGTGTTTTGAAGCAAAATTAATGATTAATTTTCCCATTTGGGGCCCCACCCCCAGGTCTATTGTATTCAAATAAACTTTCTGAATTTAAGAAACAATAACCCACTTTCAATAATGTTTCAGACCATATTTGGTTGAAAATCTACCTAGGCATTAAGAAAGAGTAGCGTATTGAAGGGAACTATTGTCTAAATTCCCCTTCTGAAGCCCCGCCCCAAAGTCACTTAGGGTTGAATAAACTTTTTGAACATAAGAAATGATTCCCCTTCCTCAATGATGTTTCAGACCAGCAGTGGGCACATGGCCCATGACGACGGCTGATGCTGATGCACCGTTGAATCAGGTCATCTTGACCTGCAATGATTCATTGAGATATTTCAAAAAAAATATACATCACTAAGGAAGTCCAGCGTGAACAGCCTATCCACTAACACTTACCGTTTGTATTCTCCGTTTCTTGTTCAGTAGCCACACCAAGCCATCTCATCTATAAACACATATTAATATAAATTTACATCAACCAAATACACTTAATCATAATCAAGGAACACAACCTCCAAAAAAGATATCACAGAGGGATCTCCAAGTCCAACACCATTTTTTTTTTCCTTTTCTCTTCTCACCTAAAAGAATAAACTTTTTATTGTCAAATCAATGAGGGTCAACATTTTGTTTTTCTCATCAGCACCAAAAATCAGGAGGGCCCAACTAGGGACCAAGGGGAGCCTACTTCTAAAAGAAGTAGTGACATCATTAAAAGAAATCATGGCTGCTTGACATTTTGTTTTCTTGGCCAGTCCTAACATGAGACAAGCACAACTAGGGATCAAGGGGACCTTACATATCACGTTGTCGAAATCCAAGATGGATGCCTCTCAGTCATCTTGTTTTTCTGATCAGTCATAAGCACAATTAAGAACAAGACGAATCTACATATGAAATTTGAGAAAGATCCGTTCAAAATAGAAATAGAGATAATAAACTTTCCATTGTAAAAATCCAAGATGGCTGCCTGTCAGCAATTTGGCAGTCCCAAAATTGAAAGGGCATAACTAGGGACCACCAAGGGAAACCTACTTATGAAATTTGACAGAGATATATTCAGCACTTCTTAGAAAACTTAGAAATAGAGATAATAAACTTTCCATTGTAAAAATCCAAGATGGCTGCCTGTCAGCAATTTGGCAGTCCCAAAATTGAAAGGGCATAACTAGGGACCACCAAGGGAAACCTACTTATGAAATTTGACAGAGATATATTCAGCACTTCTTAGAAAACTTTCATTAATGAAAACCAAAATGTCGACTATTTTCTGTTCAGTCCCAAAATCAAAAAAGGCACAAGAAATGACAATGAGGAATGTAATCTGAGGAGGATCCATCTAACTGCTCATGAAAAATCTGAGATAGCCGTCCGTTCATATAGGGCGATTTTGATAGCCCATCTTGCTATCATCAAACACAAAATGATTGTTTTTATTGAAAAAATAAAGGTGTTGAGACTATTCTGACTGACTGGAGATCTAGTTTCATTGTAATACAAAAACAAAGGTTCCTCTATAACCCAGGACGTATATATATATCCTGGAAAGTCTCTGCTTCAATGAATAAAGACAGTTCCAAAACTAAATTACTCTCACAGTTGTTACTGTCATGTATTGTATCATTCTCTATTTTATCATGTTAAACACTTTAAAACTGCAAAGTAGATCAACAAGAAATTTAATATGATATTATTCACTTTCTCAAACAAATTTTTGGCATTACAGGTTTCACATTTTTTTAATGTATATGTTTGTAAATTTTCTTGGAATTATTTGAACCTTTCAGTTTGGTTTTGAAGGTTTTTGGTTTACTTTTTTGTTCATTTTCCTTAAGGTATGGTAAAAAGGTTTTGTCAGGTACACAACCACATCTGCAGACAGGTCCGTTTCTCAGCTTCCTGAGAAACACAAACTTCCACATGTAGGGAGAACCAAATATCACACAATTTTCTTTGTTTTAACTTGGTCTTGTTTAAAAGCACTTTGAATTTCCACACACAATAGTGCTCACTATCAATTTCATTTCAGTAGAGTTCACTATTCTACAAAACACTTATACATGTAAACTGACTTGTACACTTATTCATTCATATCTTTTTTTTTAAAATCTCTTCCAACCCATAACCAAAGAGATGTTTTGCAGACTTCTGAGGTTTGCCTCAAATGGCAGGGATTACAAAGGGACTTTCCATAGGTCTGCTCTTTGACCAAGAATACCTTCACACCCTAGCCAGAATTTGGCTGGTTATCCCAGGGGTTACCAATTGCTAGCCAGAACCAAGCAGTGCAGTTGAGTGTCAAGCCTTTTTACCAAAGTTTAGTAACAGCAAACATTGCCAGCATGTGAATGTATCCCTGGTACAAGAAACATTAGGTGATAGTGTATATCTAGAGTATAGAGTAGGGTGCCTTCAAAAGAGCCTGGGAAGAACAATGTTCCTGGAGACTAGAAGGTCTAATTCTGAGGTGTTACCCAACAAAAAGTTTTTTATGGTGATGATGCCAGGTTGAATCAACAACAGCTTTGGCAAAGGAGGACATGCGACAGTTCAGGGATATAGCATAGCTTTTGTGGTTGTGCAATTGAGTGTTATGTCTGTGTACCAATGTTAAGCAATGCTGAGCATGGACATCAAATGAATGGGTAACCCAGAGAATATTACATGCCTGGCACACAAGTTGTATCGACACACTAGTGATAAAATATTGTTACATCCTCTCTAAATTTCACCCAACAACGGGCTGATTTTTTGGATGTTTCTGATCCACAGAGACACACATCATTCAACACATTTGATACCAAAACACAGGGACATGATAGAAACGAAATGATAAGGCAATACCTGTTCTTCTGTCAGTGATTTCCCTTCAGCTCTCTTGGCAATATATTCTTGTCTGCTCTCCAGAAGGAATGGGCAGTTTGGTTGTTTTTCAAAGTGAACTGCCCAGGGGTCATCTTCATCGCTGATGTCCATCAGTTCAATTCCACAGCAGAAGCAAATCCAGCGCGAATCTGAATTATTTATTTTGAGTTGAATAAACAAAATTGTTAGATCAAACAATTGTTGAAGCGCAATAATAGAAAATAAATCTTGAAACACGAAAACTAAAAATCCAAATAAGATTCTAGCTGAGCATAGCGAATAACAAACAGTTTTAAAGTAAAGCATGCATTACTAGGGTCCATGGGAACCACCATATGAACACTCAAGAATCGAGATCCACATTTGGACCCTGCCTCTGCAGAATTTTAATTTGCATAAAACAGAGTTCCCTTTGCCAAAAAATATTTGAAACTTTGGAAGAATTGGTCAAAATGGGACTACATCTATCTGCCCTATTGGCCCAAGCCCCTCAGTCTCTAGGATTTAAACAAAATTGGAACAGTCTTTCCCTTAAGAATTTTGCTGCCTTAGTTCAGTCAACCCCAACCCCTCACTCCTTTTCAAAGGATGCTTCTGAATAGAATTGGTCAAAAATGTTCATCATATTGGGGGATAAAAAAAGGGTAAACAGATTTTTTACACTCAGTTCCAAAACTAAGTGGTAAAGCATGGGAACAAGGGGAACCAACATGATCTGTCTGGTACCTTTACATGGTTTTCATCACCAAGGAACATCACAATTAAAATGGTGTCATATTCAATTGTCTTTCTCATGCATAACTGCAATGGGAGATGATCTATTTGAGTCCAAGAATTTGGGAATTAAACTTGCTGAGAAAGGTTTATATAATTCTGACACTATGATGTACGAGAAATAGAAGCTACTACCCATATATGTTCAGCATTGACTTATTTCATTCTCTGGTTCATCACAAATGAGATTTTAGTACAGAATGTCGGCCTTCGACTGATATAAATCAGTCTAAAACACACATATATCAATCCACTCTGTCCAAAAACTAAAAATGGGAAAACAAGAGCTCAAATGAAACAGAATATCGATATAATTCTTCTCTAGAAAACATGATGGCCAGGATGGTATTTGGAGTAGCAGAGGGAACTGTGTTTGAGTGGGAGAAGGAAGGATGGAGTCATAATAAAACAAAATATACATGGACCTAAACCGTCGTCAGACTAAACTCACCTGAACCTAAAAAGCAAAGGCCCATAACTCTGTATGTTGTTATCAAAACAGTCAAAATGTCAAACTCATCAGAGATGTATGACACATGGCAAGATACCAAGGTTCATATTTAAGTGTTCATACAGTCCATGGTAAGGAAACTATGAATTTCAGTGGAATTTGTCCCATTGTCAAACCCTTTGAAGATCTTATTAATGAAAGGATGCGTACTTATCTGTAAATATTTACTAAAGTTATTACAGTCACAAGGTCCAAAGGTTATAAAACTTAACCAAATATAATTCAATGAGTCCCATTATCAAACACATATGAGACCTTATCGATATAAAGTTTCATCACCTTCACAATGAAAACAAAAATGCTTGACGACAGAGGACAAACATCTAGATAAGTCACCATGACCTATGGTCATGTGACATGGTAACCTATGGTCATGTGACCTAACAATTACTTTTGAAGAAAAATCCAGCCTTGATCCATTCATCAATCACTGAATTTCCTGTACATGCTTGTTCCCTGGCACTTCTTGTACGAAATTCTGGATATGAAATCATGTGATTTCCAATGTACCCAAGGAGACATACACCAGCCTGTAACACACAGATACAACTCTTTCATAGAATTAATCTATTTTTTGGGGAATTATGAAGTTGGCTTTCTATTAACGGGCAATCAAATTCTCAGCGAATTATCGAATTTTGGCAAATCAGTGCAATGATGAATTCACCAACATTAATAATTGCTACAATCAAACAATGAAAAGAAGACCCGATTATTTCAGCACAATATTTTAAGAATGGAAAACTGCTGAATCAATTTCCGCATTTATGCATTGTACGAAATTAAAAAAGCCTATTATATGGCCTGTACCTGTACTGTTATTTCCAACATCATAAAAACAATTCAGGGTCATTAAATAGTCTAAAATTTATCGGCATTTGAGACAGAAACCTTCAAAATGGTATACTTAATGATAAAAAAAACATGCATACCTGAAGGAGTTTCTGACGCAGGGTGTAGATAAATGCCAGGCCACATATTTGCAATATGTGTCGACAATGCATGCTGATGGCTGCATGACTGAGGATGGGGTTATGAGTCCTTTGCAAATTTTCTAGTAAGACTCCACAGGAATAACATCTGACAGTATTACCATCTCCTACAAAGAAAGCAGTTGCAAAGTAAGACAATAGTTTCTGGAAATTGGTGAAAAGCAGATCAGTGCCTGGAGCATGAAAAATGTTTCTAGAAAAAAAAAGCTTGTGTAGTATGCTATGATTAGTAGATGACCAACAAAGTGCCTAAGAGAAATTCATGAGCCTCAGAAAATTCAGCGGTATTCTGCCAAATACTGTTGGATACCACATCACAGAAACAGGAAATTTCATTTTTCAAAGGACATATTTTGTTGGTTTGTAAATTAGGCCAAAAACAATGGCATTGGATTAATCATTGATTATTTTAATCAAAATGGGGTAACTTGGGTCCAAGTGAGCCTATGTAAGAAATCTGAGAAAGACTATACGATTCTTCGCAAGAAATAGCAATAAGAAACATTCATAAACAAAATCCTAACAGGTCACTTGTCAGTCCCTAAATTAAAAGAGCACAACTAGAGATCACGAGGAATCTACATATGAAATTTGAGAAAGGTCCAACAAGTTCTTCTCAAGAAACAACAATATCAAGCACTGCTTAAAAATTGATAGCAGACAACCGACAGGTCATGACAGATCACAGACACATCGAGATTTGAAGATCCTGGATTAATATTATGTTGATGTCCTAATATCTGAGTATATCTCCCTGCTTTGAGCCAGATTTAAGCATCACCGGTGGACTTATTGCTGGATAAATCTGATAATGATACATTACCTGTATAGGCGAGTCCCGACTCAGAGAGCGCGCTTACATCGAAATCCCCAGTAGAAGCAATGAAACTCTCACATGGATAGATTTCCATTTCTGACTGTAAATGGGATGATGGTGGGTGCATCAAGACTGAATTAACGGCATCTAAATATGTCGCAATCGTTGCTACAGTGATGGGTTCATCAAACTTAAGCAGCCGTCCTGTGCCACAGCAGGCTTTTATATTGTGTTCATCATTAGTTTTTTTTCCACAAAGCAGACACTGAAGGAGTTTTCTGGCAGGGTCAAGACAGCGGAAACCCATGTTATAAAGGGTTTTGGCAGAAGTCGAATTTGTGTCACACCAGTACAGGAAACTGTACATGTCTGATAAATCCATTCTGGGCACTGAAACCTGTTTTGACCATATTCCTACAAGGACAGGCCTAAGGTTAATGAAATCAACTTGTATTTCGGAAAGCTGGCTATACCTTGGTACCATTCTCAGGATGCTAACCATACCAGCATTCAAAAGGGAAGAAAGCGCAGCAACATTTACCAAAGGTTGATTTGGTAAAAATGAAGGACGAATGGGTGAACCATTCTGGTTTTCAATAAGATCCAGAAAGAATGTCTTCCTGATCTGATCTAGACAACATTGCACTTTTGTCGGTAGTTCCTCGCCATCTCTTTCTTTAACATACCACTTGTGATATAAGTTTTGTAGACTCTGTAAAGTCAACACAGACACATATCCAGTCATTTTTTTGACAGTATTGTTTTCTTTAATATCAACTGTTATCCCATATATCAAATCTACAAGGCTACACAACTGAAACATTCTAAGCAAGGATTCACGACCACCTGATCTTGCAGTGTTTTCCAGTGCCGCGCTTTTCGCAGAATCGGTTAAAGCCATTACAAATCTAAGTTCAGTATCAGCAGGCAGCTGAGGAGGATCTTCATTCTTATTTTCTATCACTACACCGACAGAGGAATCCTCCCAGTTTAAAGAGTCTTCCCCACAGGCACCCTCTTCTTCTTCTACCTCATCCTCTTTCAACTCTACTAGAAAAAGTGTTTCCTTCCTATAACACAAGATATGTAATGTTAAACAACTTCAGCATTTTCTTTTGTTGAGATAAACAAGTTATATTGCATATATTATATTGAAAATATCAATATGTGTTATGCGAATAACATTTTTATTTTCACTCCGAATAAATTTTGATATTTTCATTCGTTCTTGACCAATAAGGTCACAGCATCATTTAATCTAAACATGTACAAATATATACTTACATATTTAATCTGTCCTCAACAAATACTATGTCAGCTTGGTATTATGTCTGAAATCAAGCATTAAAACACCAGTTTACATGTATATTGCAGCTAATAAATTCACCAGGTTACACAATCTCATACAAAATGTACAAGTTTGTCTCAAAATCATTATCACCGCAATAAAACGAAAATTCACAAAATTGTTTGCTTTGTTATGTACCATTGGATGCATTAAAAATTTTGCACTCATAAAAGTATCATATGTTATCCAAGACTTTCACCAAAGCAGTCATTTATGTAGCTTTAAATATGATAATCATACATGCAAATCTAATTACCGGTTTCTGAAGGCCATTTAATTTTCGGTTTGGGCTATGTTTATACCTATGATTAAAAGTACCCATAAATTTTCTGCTTTATCAATTCGCTTGGTAGGTATCTTATGACAGAAATCATTTTTCTGTAAAATTCCTTAAATAAAACACATTTAAGTACTCCTTTTGTTGATTTTTTCAGTCGAATCTACTTTACCGGGACGAAATCCACTGGCTCTGGAAGTCACGGCAAGATTACTGTGTTCCGGTTGTGAAGGATCATGGGGCATAGGGAGGGCGGGATTTTTTAATCTTTGTTTTTGGGATACAAAGATGGGTGTGGGTACCATATTTGCATACTAAAGTTATGGTAATTATTACTGAAATGAAAATGTATTTTGTGATGCAAGTTCCCAAATGAAAAGTGCTGTTTTCACCTCTGACCCGGATGTATATAATTGACCTCGGTGATACACATGCATAGGTACCTTCATAAAATACTTTTGATTTTTACATTATGCTTCTCTGATGTTGATTATGGCCAAGTAAGATGGAAATTTGCTAATGGGACCGGATTATGAATTTCAACTACAACACCAAATTACCATTTATGTTTACACAGTATAAAAGCATACATAAATGAGAGGCTCATGGAACTTCAAAATCATCTCGTAAATACCTTACCATAAATATATAATTGTGCATTCCATTCCAAATAACCAATGTAAGGACAAGAGTATGTACTGAACCACTGTCGGTTCAATTCAAAAATTTAAAATCTTATCAAAATATCAAGAAGGAATCCTCAAATTAGAACAACACTAGAACATGTCATCATAACAAAACCTACAGTTTTTCATCATAACAAAATCTACAGTGTTTCATCATAACAAAATCTACAGTGTTATATCATGATAACAAAATCTACAGTGTTTCATCATAATAACAAAATCTACAGTGTTTCATCATAATAACAAAATCTACAGTGTTTCATCATGCTAACAAAACCTACAGTGTTTCATAATAACAAAATCTACAGTGTTTCATCATAATAACAAAATCTACAGTGTTTCATCATAATAACAAAATCTACAGTGTTTCATCATAATAACAAAATCTACAGTGTTTCATCATGATAACAAAACCTACAGTGTTTCATCATCATAACAAAACCTACAGTGTTTCATCATCATAACAAAACCTACAGTGTTTCATCATCATAACAAAACCTACAGTGTTTCATCATCATAACAAAACCTACAGTGTTTCATCATCATAACAAAACCTACAGTGTTGATCATCTACAGTGTTATATCATGATAACAAAACCTACAGTGTTTCATCATGATAACAAAACCTACAGTGTTTCATCATGATAACAAAACCTATAGTGTTTCATCATAATAACAAAATCTACAGTGTTTCATCATAATAACAAAATCTACAGTGTTTCATCATAATAACAAAACCTACAGTGTTTCATCATAATAACAAAATCTACAGTGTTTCATCATAATAACAAAATCTACAGTGTTTCATCATAATAACAAAATCTACAGTGTTTCATCATAATAACAAAATCTACAGTGTTTCATCATAATAACAAAACCTACAGTGTTTCATCATAATAACAAAATCTACAGTGTTTCATCATAATAACAAAATCTACAGTGTTTCATCATAATAACAAAATCTACAGTGTTTCATCATGCTAACAAAACCTACAGTGTTTCATCATAATAACAAAATCTACAGTGTTTCATCATGCTAACAAAACCTACAGTGTTTCATCATAATAACAAAATCTACAGTGTTTCATCATAACAAAACCTACAGTGTTTCATCATCATAACAAAACCTACAGTGTTTCATCATCATAACAAAACCTACAGTGTTTCATCATAATAACAAAATCTACAGTGTTTCATCATAATAACAAAACCTACAGTGTTTCATCATGATAACAAAATCTACAGTGTTTCATCATAATAACAAAACCTACAGTGTTTCATCATCATAACAAAATCTACAGTGTTTCATCATGATAACACAACCTACAGTGTTTCATCATCATAACACAACCTACAGTGTTTCATCATCATAACAAAACCTACAGTGTTTCATCATCATAACAAAATCTACAGTGTTTCATCATAACAAAACCTACAGTGTTTCATCATAATAACAAAATCTACAGTGTTTCATCATGCTAACAAAACCTACAGTGTTTCATCATAATAACAAAATCTACAGTGTTTCATCATAATAACAAAATCTACAGTGTTTCATCATAATAACAAAACCTACAGTGTTTCATCATAATAACAAAATCTACAGTGTTTCATCATGCTAACAAAACCTACAGTGTTTCATCATAATAACAAAATCTACAGTGTTTCATCATAACAAAACCTACAGTGTTTCATCATAATAACAAAATCTACAGTGTTTCATCATGCTAACAAAACCTACAGTGTTTCATCATAATAACAAAATCTACAGTGTTTCATCATGCTAACAAAACCTACAGTGTTTCATCATGCTAACAAAACCTACAGTGTTTCATCATAATAACAAAATCTACAGTGTTTCATCATGATAACAAAATCTACAGTGTTATATCATGATAACAAAACCTACAGTGTTTCATCATGATAACAAAACCTACAGTGTTTCATCATGATAACAAAACCTACAGTGTTTCATCATGATAACAAAACCTACAGTGTTTCATCATGATAACAAAATCTACAGTGTTTCATCATGATAGCAAAACCTACAGTGTTTCATCATAACAAAACCTACAGTGTTTCAAAGAGATCACTTGAAAACTGAGAGATGATCACAAAATCCTAGTGTTGGACAAATGGAGATTGGCATGATTCATTTCCAGAATGTTTTATAAACAAAATGTTGAGAGGAAAACATTGTTATATGTTTAGAACCATACCAAGTCTGAAAGAAATGGATCAAAAACCCAAGAAAAGACATGTCTGGATAAGATGAAAATGCTGAGGAAAAAAAAATTTAAAAAAAAAAGAAATAACTTTCCACAATGCAATTCAAGAAAAAACAATTTTATGTAATTGTTATAAAGCTTTAAAAGTTTCTAAGAAGTTAATTAAAGCTGAAGCAAAAAGCACAATTCAGACCATCACCACAATAAGTGGAGGGGACATAAACTTTTCCAAACACCGGGCATTAAATCATTTAGTAAATCAAAGTTTCATGTGACTGGTTACTTACAAGCCATGATCTTAAATCAAAGATAATGGGCTGTCGTTTCATGTTCACCACCACCATTGTGACGATGGCATTTAGTTAGGTCTGATTTACAGAATTTTGAAAACAACCGGAGGAGATCCTATCACTTGTATGATAACTTCATTCATTTCCAAAGTGTCACTTTTTAGTGTTAAGCATAAAAACAAGAGCAAGCTGTGATTTATTTGTCAATCATGCGTTCTCAACAGATTCAGACTAGCTGTCGTCAGAATCGGCAAACACTCTGGTAATTTCTACGGACCAAGATGTGTGATGTTAGTGCTGTCGGTTCTGGACAGAATACATTATGATATTAATTTTATTATTAGTGCCTATAATGTTTATGTGTCAGTCTTAAAATAATTACTTTAACACGTGAAGACCACTTTAATGCTGCACGTTGTTTCATTTAAAATTGACCTGTAAAATGCATATACTGTACGATATGAAATGTTGATTTTCCATTTAATTTTATTTGAAGTTTTGGTTTTTTCATCGATGCAAATGTTTTAAAATAAAAAATGTATCTTTTTATTTAATCTTGTGTTTGTTCGGCTTGAAATATCATGTCATCAAC